TATGTGTGTGTGTGTGCGTCTCCGTGAATACAATTCAGACAATTTATTAACTTTGTTCGCTCTAACGTTGTTATTTTATATTTACTTGAATTTATTACCCGGGAGAGTTAATGTCACGTGCAGCTTTCGTCGTAAAATTAATTGTCTCAGTCGTTATAAATTTATCAAGTTTCGCGAAGATATATCCGATCGCGCGGGTTTTTTACACGCGAAGTTCTGAAATTTTACTCATTAACCGCAGCCGTAAAATTTACGTTGAACGTAAGGGCCGAAAGGGTTATATCATCCGTGAGTTGCTTCCCTTTATCGTACCTACTATTTAACCGGGAAAGTTATACCACTTATATAAACGACGATGCCCTGGAAAACGATATCGTCCTCGATAGTCCCCGGTGTGACTCTGCACGATGAAGTCTCGTTCGTTAATCGACTCTTGTGGCTTTCCTGCAGAGTATCGGTTATCTCTACGAATAGTTGTTTCTACACAGAACAACTAACTACCTTGTAATTGAAATAAGCAGCTAGTAAGTAATTTGTGTGAGTTTGCCGGGAGAATTATAGCAATATAGTATTATTAAGGTGAAAGTATTAATGCCTGGACACGTACCTAATTTTGGACGTGGTTATTCTTATTGTTTTAGTCTTTAAATATGAATATTTTAAATTTTTTACATCAAATATATTTATAATAAACATATATATATATATATATATATGTGTGTGTGTGTGTGTGTATGTTTAATACATGTATATATACTCTATATATATATATATATATATATATATATATATATATATATATATATATATATATATATATATATATATATATATTAGAAGATTAAATATCCACATGTTTAAAGTAAAACAAAAACAACAATAAAAATATTCAGGATTAGATACGTGTCCAAACATTGGTACTTTTATTTTGAATGCAATATACGCTTCGACAGGCGACGACCAAATTGACAGTTGTCCCCAAGAATTATGCTTTAATTATTTTCTCGCTAAAATCTCATTTTTCTAGAAAATTATGACATAAATATTAAACGCAGTTTTCTTGCTTTTTTCTCTTCTCCATTTTCCCTCCCTCCTTCTTCTCTCTTTCCGACTTTTATTAGACATTTGTCTGAAAGCGAAGGGATGACACTCGTTTCCCGAGACTTCAGTTAAAATCGAGAAACTCCGAGAGAAATGCACACACATACACCGCGTACATGAACGGGCTTAATACGGCTGTTAGGCGCTTTAACGTTCGATGCACCGCCGCCGAATTAACGTCGCCACCATTTTTACGGGGTCGTAGTCTATGTCTCGTAAAATTTATCTTCTGTCGCGAATGGCGCTTCTCCTCGCTCCACCTATTCTCTCGTCTTACACCATCGCTATCGGCCCTTCGTTTCTTAGGGGCTCAACGAAACCTCGCACGTCGCTGCCGTTACTGCCTGACATTTTTATCGGTTCTATCAAAGATCTCTCCTATTCTCTCTCTCTCTCTCTCCCTCTCTCTCTCTCTCTCTCTCTCTCTCTTCCTTCTCGACATTGACGCATCTTTGTCGCTCTTTTCATATGCTTCATTACGAAAAGCTCCTGAGAAGTTTCAATGAATTGCTCTGTTGATCGCGCGTGAATTGCGCTTTCGTACAAGGAGAACCTCGCAATATCATTATCTTTTGCTTTTTGACTAAATACTCCGCAATGAGCTGAGGAACGTCACTTTTGGACTAGTGCTTCATGAGAGACGACTAGGCCGTAAGTTATCAATTTTCAGCGATTCTAAACGTAAAACACATCGTGTAGAACGGTGTTACTTATTTACTTGGTTAAAGGCGCTTTTAAGTTGGTAACTTAAAAACTGGTGGTGCCTCTCGCGAATAACGGTAGCTCCGATTGCTTATGACGCGAGCTTCTTCACCACGAGGGACGATTCTGTTTATTTGTGAACGAGGTAGAGCGCAAAAGTTGGAATAGCACGAGGTCGTGTTTCTTGCTTCCCCGAGTGTCGTGCGTGTCTCTGATTTTGATGGAAGTGTCGCTTCCGCGAAATTTCCGGCCCGCTTAACGACGTCTTAACGGGATTTTAGATAACGGAGTAACGTTCGTGCCGTGTAAAATCAACCGAAAGTGCCGGCGACTTCGCCCGACGCCGACTTGCAAGAAAACTGATTTTCGTAACGAAATTTTCATATAATTGGGTTGCCTGAACTTACACTGATGGCTGTCGCTTGTTTTCGCGTCGTCGCGTTTTACTCGCGCGCGAGAACTTAACTTCCGATGTTCCCTCGGAAAATACTGCAAAAACCATTGAGCTATTCTTATCGATCGACGCTAATAATTACACCACGCGCACTGATCAATGACGCTCTGACTCGAGTTGGCGCGAAAGCAAAGACTACCATG